TGTGTGTGGGGGGGGAGGGGGTAAGTGGAGTGGAGCAGTGGAGGGGAGATTGGGGGGAAAGGGGAGCAGAGGCAGGGCTTGAACACGGGCTTGTTGTGGGGCTTGTTGGGGCATAGGATGGAATTGTGTGTGTGTATGTATCTGTGCCGCAGTTTTCATGGCCCACAGAATGGCATTCTCCTAACTGCGGCGGCGGACGTGGAGGATATGATGGCGACGGTTTGGGGGGTAGTAGTAGGAGGAGGAGGAGGGGGAGAAGGAGGAGGAGGAGGGAGATAGGGAATGTCCGCGGAGCTGCCTCGTAGGGGCGTGAGGTCCTTACGAGCCGGTCCCCTTCAACTTACCCTGCCTACCCCTCCATCCCTCGCTTCCTGCCCTACTTGCTGCATATCTTATGCAGGTCCCGCCCCTCCCGCCGCCCCTCTGGACCTGCACTTCACTTTCCACTTTCTCGCATATGATCCCCCTCCCGCCGCACCCCCGGCCCTCCCCCCGCCTCCCCGCCCTTCACTCGCTCGTGGTTCGTCTTTCCCCCCTCCTCCCCGCCCTTCACGCAGCGACACGGACAAGCGGGCCAGCCTCATAGCGGATGGCGCGGATGCTGCGGGCTCCCTCATGGCGCTGCCCAGGACTAACTCAGGACTGTCCAACAAGTCCACCAGCGAAGATACCAGCAGCCCGCAGGTGGGGGAGTAGAGGGGGGACAAGCTGGGGGGGGGGGCTGGGGGTATGACGAAGCACAGGCGATTGGTGTGAGTGGGGGGGGGAACATGGGAAGGAAAGCGGTATGGCATGGGTAGTACTCGTGCCTAGGTCGGTATGTCTCCCGTGCCCGCTCTTGCTTGCTTTGCTTTGTCCTTTGCCTTGCCCTCGGTCCGCCTGCCTTCCATTCATATTTCATTCAAATTTCATTCCCGCCTTATCGGCGGATGTGCCCCACGGGCTGCGTGTTTGTTTTCACCCCCCTGTCCCCGTTGGATGTCCCCCCTGTTCCAGGCCTCCAATGCGCTGAGCGCTCCGGGCTCCGAGTCGAACACGTTCATCACCGCCTGCCAGGCCAGCTGGAAGGAGGCCAACGCCACCACCCCCAACAACGTGCTCATTTTTAGGTAGGACGGGAGAGGGCGGCAGGACGGAGGGGAGGGAGAGGACCTAAGGAGAAGTGGGGCGAGGTGGAGGAGGCAGTTGAAGAGACGGGCAAGGTGGATTAACCTGCGGACAAGAAGGGGAAGGCCGGGTTCTTGGTGGCTATGTAGGCGGAGGAGTACGACTTCATTGAGACGGGAGGAGGAGGAGGAGGAGGGGGAGGAGGGGGGAGTTGGAGGAGGAGGGTGTATTTCGGCAGGTGATGCTGGGGCCCCCTAGCAGCAGCAGCAGCCCGTCCCCTGTGAACGCTCTCCGAGCCCCTCTTTGAAACCCCATCGACTGTGTGGCCGCTCTCCCTCCCTTTCCCCCTTCCCCGGGCCGGGTTTTTCCCCCGCCTCCTTTCCGCTGCCGCTGCTGCCGTTCCGATTACCCTAGGGGCCTGAGGGTGCGCATGGGGATGCATACCGGGATCACCAACGAGGCTGACGTGGCGTACAACAAGGCGGCGGCACGCATGCAGTACAGCGGCGAGATCTTGCAGTACGCCAAGGCGGTCAGCGACGCGGCAGCTGGCGGCATGATCCTCTTGAGCGAGGCGACGTACCGGTACGTGAGGTGACGATCGCGGTCGCTTTGGATGAATCCAACATTCGATGTCGCCATCAATGTCGCCATCACTATCATCATAACTATCGCCGCCTGTTCCTTCCTGTTCCTGAAGTAAGGGAAAGATCGTTGCTGCTCTTTTGATGCCCTGCATACCCGCTGCTACTGCTGCTGCTACTGCTGCTACTGCTGCCGCAACTGCTGCTGCTGTTCATCCTCTCGCGCTGTCCCCTCTGCCGCCGTCCTCTTGCCCCTGGCGCAGTCGCCTGCCCATGGAGCGGTTGTGGGACAAGGCTATGGTGATGCATGTAGGGGAATACAAGTGAGTGAGTGAGTCTGTGTGTCTGTCTGTTCAGAACTGAGCCGCGGGAAGGAAGTAGCGCGAGGTTGGAACCGGGGAGAGCAACAGAAGTAATGTTTGTGTATGTATGTTGTTACAGGGTGGTTAACTTCGCCAGCGGCCCCCTTTCCCGGGGCAGTCCCTGCTCTCCCCTGCTAGAGGGGCACCCTAATCCATTCACCCCATCCATCCGACTTCAGAGTGTATTCGTTGGGTTCAGCAACTCACCACCAGCATCCAACCAAATCTAGCGGATCAACGGCGCCTAAACTTAGTTCCTGGTCAGCTCGCAAGTTGATATAATCACGTCCTACATCGTCCACAAGATGGGGGCCCACCCCCCAAATCAACACCCCTCACACACCGAGGGATCGGCAGGCGGATTTGAACCCGGAACCTCCGGGAGCAGAAGTCAGGCCTTAACTTCTGCCAGACACCTGCCTGTATGTATGTATGTTGTCTGTCTGGGGAGAAAGGGAAGTCGGCTGGGAATGACTTCATGGGGATTGATTGATGGCCTTCCCTCCCCTGCTCCCCGCCTCGCCCCTCCCCGTGTCTATCTCCCTCTCTCGTGACCGCCTCCTTCACCCCCCGCAGTAACCCCCTCCGGACTGTCACATGGCCCCCCCTCCGGCTGCGGGGCCCATCTCCCCCCCAATCTGTTACACTCTTGCCCTGGCAGCAGCTTCACTCGTTTGTGGTTCGTCTTTCCCCCCCACCCCCCAACCCCGCAGGCTAAAGGACGACCTGCCCGTGCTGTCGCTTTACCAGGTCACGGGTCGCCGGCTGATGGGCCGGCTGGGCTACCTGAGCGGCATGAGGTTCAAGGAGCAGCTGTCCAAGGGGGTGTACTCGGCACCGCTGGGGGCGGTACGTGGTGGCGGTGGGGGGGGGCGGGGCCTGGGGGTGGGGGTGGGGGGGGGAGTGGTTATGGTGGTGGGGGCGGTGGGTGAAGATGGTGGCTGTGGTCGTGATGATGGTGATGGTGGTGATGATGGTGGTGGGGAGGATGATGAATTACTGCTGGTGAGGGGGTTACGCTGGTAGCAGTGGCCTGCCGCTACCCCTCAACCCCCTACCGCATATCTACCTGTCTGTCTGTCTGTCTGTCTGTCTGTCTCCAGGTCGCCATGGCTTATGTTGGCATCGTGGGGACCTCCGAGCTCCTGGCCTGGAATGAGTCTGTTACCCGGGAGGCGATGGCCCAGCTGCACAGCTGTGTTTCGGAGCTAAGTCACAAGTGGGGGGGCTACCTGGTGCAGGCCACTGGTGAACAGGTGTGTGCGTGTGTGTGTGTGTGTGAGTACGCGCGTGTGTGTATGTGTGTCTGTCGGTTTACATGTCTGTGGGCCGGTTGGGGGTCATGCAGGTCCCGTCCTGGATCCGCATCCGTTGGTGGTTAGGGATCAGACGTACAGACATTCATACAAACTATATACGGGTGTGACCTCAACCTATCTGTGTACCTATTTCTACCTATATACACACATATATATACCTATATACCTATCCACCTATCCACCTATATACCTATATACACATATACATATATACACATATACAAACATAAATATACATATATACATATATACCTATACACCTGTATACACATACTCACACCGAAATGCCTCCTCTTTCCTCAGTTCCAAATTTCACCACTATAACATGCGCCAGGCTCCCGCCACGGCGCCCGTAGCTACTGGAGCACTAACTAACTATTGTGTCGATGGTTGTTACGAGCGAGCGCAGGTGCACGTGGTGTTTGCGGGAGCGGCGGATGCGCTGTCGTGGGCTCTGGCTGTGCACCAGGCGCTGATGGAGCTGCCCTGGCCCGAGCCCCTCCTGGAGCACTTACTGGGGGAGGAGCTGATCGTTGGGGACGTGGTGGTGTTCAGGTGGGGAGTGGGGGGATGTGGGGGTGCCGTTGTCGCGGTATACTGCGTAATACGGGGGATTGGGAGGGCTGGGGGACGACCTGGGGCTTGGGTGGATGGCTTTGGGGAAGGGGGGGAAGACGGAGGAAACAAACAGGGGAAAGGAAGACTTGAAAATCAAAAAAAGCTGTTAGCAGGTTGTGATCCACTAACAGCGATCCACTAGCAGCTATAGTTATCCGGCGCAACTGCTGTTGCAGAGGTCTACGTGTCAAGACGGGAGTGGATGTCGGTCACGCGGTGGGCGAGGTGGACGCCCTCACCGGCAGGATTTGCTACCGCGGGAAGGTGGTCGCCCGCGCCGCGCGTATCATGCAGAACGCCTCGCCCAACCAGGTGCTGGCCAGCGGGGAGGCGTGGGCGGCAGCCATGGCGTCATCGCCAGGTCTGCTGCAGGTGCGCGGCATAGTCGGCGGACGAATAGGGCCCTTCAAGCTGCGCGGCGTAGCGGACCGAATCGACATTATTCAAGTACGGCTGCAGCGTGCTGACGTGGCGGGCGCGGACGGCTGGGCGCAGGACCTGCAGCAGGGCGGCGGTGCGGGTGGTGGTGGCGGAGCCGCCGCCATGGCGCCGGCGGAGGCAGCTGAGGTACAAGACGACAGCGCCGCCGCCGGAGGCGGTGGCGTTGGTAACGCAGCGGCCGCGGCGCCGTTACGGTCCGGAACCGCATCCAATCTGCGTGTGCACGACGGCGCCGTCGCCGCCGCCGGGACAGAGGATGCGTCAGTATCAGGGAAGCGAGCGTTTGGCTTTCTGAGCCGCGGCTCGCGGGGCGATGCGGCGCAGGCGCTGACGGCGACTGCGTCGGCGCACAGCGCGAGGCAGCTGGAGCTCCCGCCAGGCGGTGCAGGCGACGGCGGAGCCGCCCCTGCGGCCGCCCCGGGGCTGCCGTTACCGGCGTCCGGCGGCAGCCCGCGGCTTTTTGGCTCATTAAAATTGTTCGGATCGACGCGTGCACAGAGCTTTACCGGGGGGCTGCTGCATAGGATGGCAAACAGTAGCAAGAGCCGTGGCGGCGGCGGCGGGGGAACCAGCAGGGGTAGTCGTGCATCGGGCTTCGTGGACACGTCCGCTGTCAGCATCAGCGCCGCCGCCGCCACCGTCGCCGTCAGCACTGTCACCGCCACGGTCGGCGCCACTTCCTGCACCGCCACGCCGTCAATCTCCGTCGCACGCGAGTCCGGCGCGGAGACTGTTGGAAGCGCCGCCAGCGGCAGCGTCACGCCCATGCCCATGCCCATGCCCACTACCATGGCTGGGTCTGCGCTCGCCAGCGCGCCTGCCCATGGCAACGGCGGAGGTGAGGGGACCTCGCCGATTGCCGTACCATCCAGCGGGGCCGTCACCACTGTCAGCCACCAGATGGCCACCAGCCTGCCCTCCTCCGCCGTCAGCACCTCACCCAGCCTGCCGGCCCCGCTTAACATCTTGCGGGGCTTCCGCAACGGCAGTTCTAACGCACGTGGTGCCTCGCTTCTGGGTAGTTCCCAGCCATTCCCCTTCCCGTCGGCGCGCCGGCTGCTTCCCAGCAACTGGACGATCGGTGGCGGCGGCGGCGGCGGCAGCGCTGGAGGCAGCGGCAGCGGCGGCGGCGGCGGCGGCTTCCTGTTGTCTGGCGGCAGCCCTGGCGCCGCCGCTGGCGGCGTGCACGGCCTGTCCTCTTCCACAATGCGCACCTCCGGGGACCTGTCCGGACTTGCGTCCATGGTGGCCACGTCGCTGCCAGCAAGCAGGTCTCACGTTCATGTTGGCTCAGCGGCGGTGCCGGCTCCGGACATGCCGGATGTTTCCGTCGCTGGTGGAGCCGTCGGCGTTGGCGGCAGAGCCGTCAGCAACATCAGCGCCGACGTAGGCGCCGGCGGCGGAGCCGCCGGCGGCGCTGCTGCTGCCGCCAGCGGCGCGGGGTGGTTTCCCGGGGAGATGTTGGCGGATGTGCTGCATGGTGTGCAGGAGGAGGACGAGCAGGCGAGTTGCAGGGCCTCCCAGGCGGCTACACGGTCGGCGGGGGTCTCATCTGTGCTGTCGTAGCTTTCAAGTACGGCCTCCTCCGTACGGCTTCCTCGGCGCATGGTTTCCTCCGTCCAGAACGGGAATGGAGCTAGGGGTCGGCCTGAGCCTATTGGCGTGTCTACGGCAGGATGGGTGCGATGGCAGTCTGATGGTTGGGATGTGGCTGAAGAACATGGCGAGAAAGACGGAGTTGTTGAAGTCGCCGTTCAGGACAGGATGGGTGCCGATGTTGGTGGTGATGTTGGTGGTGATGGTGAGTGGTGTGGTTGTATGGAGGCACCTGGGGCGGCAGCGTGTCGTGTCATGTCGTGTCATGGCTTACTGCCGTACGGCCTCGAAGAGCCCTGAAGAGCTTTCTGACTCACACGTGCATGTTGCCTCCGTGTCTGATCTGCCTCGGGATCAGCTCGTCGTGCGCCTATGTGTACTTGCCAATACGTATCTATGTGTCGATGTGTGAGTCTGTGCTTGTGCGCTTGCGTGTGTGCGTGCGCATGTACAATTGCTTTGTGCTTCGTACGGCGGTGCTTCGTACACCAACACGTGTTCTGTATGTGTGTGCATGTATGTATGTGTGTATGTATGTATGTGTGTATGTATGTATGTATGTATGGACTGCATGAAGGATAACCGGCTGCGTGGGTGTGTGCGGGAGCCTATGAGCTCCTGTCCTGTGTCCACATATCCAAATTGCAAGAAACCGCAAGAAGAAAACAAGGTGCTCAAGCCAGCGGCGAACGGCGCATCTCTGTCTCTAGCTCTCATTTGGTGCACCTCCAGCGGACCACACCACACCACACCACACCGCACCGCACCGCACCACGTCACTGGGGAGATGTTAAGTAGAAATTAAAAGCGATGAGAACATGCGGGTGGTGGTGGTGGTGGTGTCGGCAACGGTGATGGTGACGCCTCGGGAGCTGGCTGGTGGCGACCTCACCGCCACAATATGTATGTATGTGGGTGTACGGCTTCCGGCTGCTTAGGACCCCAATAAAGTTGGGTGCAGAGCCTGAGAGACCTTATAGGCCTTATGACGTTCATCGTTCAAGAAGTGCAGACCTCGGGATGGACTTGTTGGCGTTTGAGGATTGATAGACCTCCATATTGCATTGCATGTATCTACATCATTGGGGTTGGTTCCAATGGGGCTTTACACGGTGGGCTGTGGCCACCTTACCACCACCACCACCACCACCTCACCACCACGTTTATCTTAGGCACTGCACAGCACCCCGGCCCTCCAAGCTTACGGGGGCTATCGGCAGGTCCCGCCCTAGGAGCGGCAGGTCCCCCCCCATAGGGCTATAGGACTACTAGCTTTGGCGGCTATTGGGTGCTAACTGTGAAGTTAGTAACACCCGCGGCTGTCGTGGAGAGATGATGCAAGTGGAGAGGGAGGCGTGATCCGCCTCAGTGTTGCCGTTGTCTAGCTTTCCAAGGGGGTAGGGAGACGCGTCCGCATAACGTGGGGAGTTGTTGTGATTGAGATCTGTATGTGGGTGTTTTGGCGGTCCCCCGGGGGCGGGCTATCCAAAGGTGACTTTGGAGTTCGCGCGGGGAATGATGGCGGAGTGGTGCTCTGGCGCGGTGTTTTGCCGGTATGTGGTGGCGTGTGTGCAGTAGTGCAGCGCAGCTCTGTTGCTGCTCGCGTGGCGAGATGTGGCTGGCTGTGATTTTTGCTGCAGCTGCGATGTCACGGTGAGCGTGGTGCTGGCGGCACTGGTGCTTTCTGGTAAGCTCCTGGACGGTGTGTTGATCACCGCATGATTTGAACGCGTTTGTTAAGTGTTTGTTAATAAATCCATAATATGATTAATATACAAATTCGATTTGGTGTTTCGTGTTTCAGCTGGCCAGCTTGCCAGTGTTGTATTTGCTTGGGTGTTGTTCTTCACATACATGCGAAACGTCCTTTCAACAATCATAGGCGGTCATCGCCCGCATCTTTCCTTCTCCTCGCCAACCTCCGCCACCCTCCGCAGCCCACACCTTAGTCCATTGTGCCGTTCCATTGTGCAAATCATTGCATGAGCCTATTACGTTATTTTCCTTGATGTGCAATAACCGCGCATAATGACTCCATATTAAGACTTCTTGAAACGACAAGGGACCTCACGGGGTGGTGGACTTGACGATGTGGCCGAGGTCGGGGCCTTGCGTTGTAATTTAGTTTAGGGTCGCTGTTTGTCTACTGGGGTTACACGAGTTACGAATTCCGCACAAGTGCGGGGGGAGTTTGTAAGAGCCGCCCGGGGGGCCGAAATGGACGGAAATGTGGCTTTTGGGTAGTTGTGGTCGTGAGGATGCTGTGCGTCGTGCCACGTGGCTTTTATGGCGGTTGTTGGGGGTGTGACGGCGCAGATGGGCCCTGTGTGTGTGGAGCGTGGCTTGCCTGCTTTGTATCAGGAAGTACTTTAGTGTGGAGCCACCTGAGGCCCAAGAGCAAAGGCGTCCAAAGACGAGAGGTACAGCAAGGAGGTGCGAATGCCGGGTTACCTTGGGTGTTGAGAGGGACCGTCACACCGTCATCACCTGATTGATAGCAAATGACGGCGGGTGTGGACGGAATTTGGGAGAGGAGGCCTATGACCTGGACTGCACCCTTAACAGCCCAAGAACCCCCAAAACACCGCAGCACGACATAGCACGGCCGGCCAAAGATGTAAAAACAAACGGCAAGATTGTGTCTAGGTGGCAGATGCAACTGGCAGCTGCCGTCCATGATTGCTGATGATTGAGGTAGCAGCAGCGGTGGCGGCGCCTCAGAAATGTTGTGCGAGCGAACAGGATCCATCAAGCCCGGAAACAACGGAGGAAGGTAGGGGGGTGCCCACCATTATCAATACCTTGAGGCTCGGCAGTAACTCCTGCAAAGTCACAGGTACTGCCTGTATAGGCATATCGCCGGCGGGGTGCTCGTAGCTGCAGCCCTACGGCCCCTTGTCGAGTTGCCAAAGCGCTGAATGTACTAGATAATTTCCCTTTCGACGTTTAAGGATGGCATGGAAGCAGAAACTGCGGGTTGGGCATGGCTGGCATGGGACCAAAAAGCTTCACCCTACTACAAAGCCGTCGCCGGATGAAGGCGTTAAGACAGCATGAAAACAGATTATCCAGATTATAAGGCTCAATCCTGGCTCCATCTGTCAACACTACCGTTTACTACCGAGCCCGGACATATGGGAAACTAATCACCAAGCTGACAGAAATAAAGGCTACCGACGTCGAGCTTATTACAACATAACTCCTTTCCGCTCGATAGACCGACATTGGTACTTTACTTGCAAAAAAATCGCCCTCAGGTGTATGCTTCCAACTTTGGATTAATATGTAGCTATTTTTTGCCATTTTCCCAGAATTCCTACAGAGTTTCGGCTCCCGGGACTTATGTAAATCAGTCGCGCACACTTTGGGGATTTATTTCTAGAAGGCTCTGGTTATTGCCATAGCTCAATACATGTTCTTAGAAATTTTATATAATTGTACGCACCTCCAGAACCTGTCAACCTGTATCGCGACAATTCGCGAACCTTGTTACCGCCACCAGATTCCCAAGGACACCTTGTCATCTATTGGATCTCACACAGCGTATAAAATCAGAATAATCACAGTGTAAAAAGCACCCAAGTAACGCTTCGCTCCCGCACATCAAGTGCTTAATCGTTATCAGATACCACGGTGGTTTTCGGGTACCAGTTACCCTAGCAGTCATGGCACTCACGCTCTTCAACGACCCCTTCATGACTGAGATGGACCGGACCATGAACAGGATGCTGTCGTCTTTCGGTATCCCGACATCCCGGGGCACCGCGACGGCCAATTGGCCTGTGGATATTCTCCGCCCCTTCACCGGCACCACCACCGGCGCGACTAGCATGCCCATGGACATAATTGAGACGCCCACCGCCTACGAGCTGCACGCTGACACTCCCGGCATGGCGCCTGAGGACGTCAAGGTGGAGCTTCACGAGGGCGTGCTGACGGTAAGCGGCAACCGCAAAATAGCGCGCGAGGAGAAGGATGCGCAGGGCAAGGTGTGGCGCAGCGAGCGCAGCTCCTACAGCTTCGCGCGTTCCTTCACGCTTCCGGAGAATGTAAACAGCGACAACATCTGCGCTACAATTGACAAGGGCGTGCTGAAGGTGCGGAATTGCACACGACGTTGCCTGGAATTTCAGTCACTGTGTGTCATGTGCGTTGCAAACCAACGTATTACGTCTTGTCTCGTTTGTAGCGCAGCTCTTGTTACTCGCCTGTCATATTTTTTTCGGGTAGAATCCAGAACATTTGAATGGAGCTAAGGACTTGATCTCAAAGCTTGGGTGGAAGGCATATAACATTTTTCATGCATAGCGGCTAGATTAACGTTAGTTCTGCTAGTTCGTTCGATGATGGTTTCAACTTGACTTTCCATCGCAAACGTGGCACACATTTTGCTCCTTGCCCCTGCCCTGTCTACACCCTCCTCCCCCTCTTGCAGGTCTGTGTGCCAAAGAAGGAGACCGAGCCCAAGCCCGAGCCCAAGCGCATCACCGTGACCGGAGCTTAAGACCGAGAAGACATCCAGAGCTCCTTTCCACCAAGGGGTGCATTTGGACTTGGCTCGGTCGTGCTTTATCTCTCTTGCCTTGTGCTGCTTGTAGATTTTGGCGAGAGGTGGGGACAAGTGTAAGGGAACAAGAAGGGGGCCTGGGTATAGTAGCCAATGGACAACTTTTCCTATGTCTGGGCGTCATATCTCGTTGCGGGGTGGGGGCTTGGGAGGTTTTTTTCCATTAACGTGTGTGTGTGTGTGTGTGTGTGTTTGTGTGTGTTTGTGTGTGTTCGCCAATGTAAAAGGATGAAACGTCATATTTAAAGAAATGTCGTGAGGCATGAGGGGGATCCGCCGATCGAGGTCTGGTTTCCACTTTGCGGATTTGCACACTGGTCCGTTACCTGTAACAGGTTTGGTTCCAATCGTACGAACACCCGGGGTGCAGTACTGCAGCTTTCCGATGCGACGCAATGAGGCCGGCAGCACAAATAGAATTGCAGAAGCGTCCATGTACGTCACACCGTGGGTGGGTGGGCAGTGTTGCGGTACAATCGCGTCGCGTCTTGGGACGTTATTGATGAAGGGATTTATGTACGACACTGTGGCGGAAAAGCATGGGGCATGAGCGAGTGTTTGGGGCGGTCGCCCAAACCAACGACCTCGAGCGGTTAGGAAACCACCACCAGCACCTTTGATCCTAGGGCTTACAGTTACAAAGTTCTCCTGCTGAATTGTAGTCTCCAACATGGACACCACCTTTACCTTAGCTCACTTCGTGAAGTGACGACGCGGATAACGGAATCTTCTTGCGTTCGCGACCTAAAAACTTTAAACTTAGTTACCGCCGACGGCTTGAGCTTGCTGTTTGTGCCACATAAAAGTGTTCACACCCTAGGACAGTATGGCAGCTACTAGCGGTATAGTAACTGGTGCAGCGTCCGGCATTGGTGAGATGTCCCTGCACTACGGTCGCGAGGGCCGGGATTATGGACCACGAATATATCAACGAACGCGATGTAGCTTTTTTGTGTAGGAAAGGAGGTCGCGGCGCAGCTCGCTTTGCGCGGATGTCAGCTGACGGTGCGCACCAGTTTACCTATTACCAGACCTGCTGCCCAGTTTAAAATCATCATCCCCTCCCCCCGATCCTAAATCCCGCAACCCATATAACAGCTTCTGGACCTGGACGAAAAGGCCCTGCTAGCCACGGTTAGTACAGACCGCTCCTCGAGTCGCGTACAGCGCCCCGCCTGCTTCCTGGGTTTACCCAATGAGTCGTTCGTCATTTGGTCGACCAACTCTCGCAGTCCTCAGCTCCTTCCCCGTCTTGGCCACTTAGATCCTCCGGGGGTTACGGCCACCAGGTAGCCTTAGAGCAGCGAGGGTATTATGTGATTGGGCTTTTTTCGGTGTTGTGATGGAGGACGGACTGGACTGGGTTTGAGGCTCCCGGGAGTTCTCCCTTCCGCCCCTTCCGGTGGCAGGTGCCCGCCTGACTTAACACCGAATAAATCACCACCATAAACATTACGATCCAGCTCCTGGTAGCCTAGCCAGCAAAGTAATCCACGATTGCCAACTACGCGGCTCGGCAGCGTTCACTGGATTGCGGACGATGGCTGAGGGGGAGGTCGGCAGCGTCACGATGCTGACCGCCCCTCGTACTGCCCCCACAGGCTCAAGAGCTGGCTACACGTCATCCGGGCGCCAGCATCCGTACATCCACCCTAGACGTCACCGACCCGGCGGCCCAGCGGGCTGCGTTCAAGGCGCATGTGGACACGTACGGTGGACTGCAGGTGTGTTGTACGATATGAGTACGGCGGACTGCAGGTGTGTTGTACGATATGAGTACGGCGGACTGCAGGTGTGTTGTACGACACGAGGTTGTGTTTTCCTTAGGGTACTCTTAGGGTACTTAGGTCCCCGATGGGTGGAGTCTGAAATGGAGATGGCTTGCCGCCTTGCGCCACCACCCGTAGTGGGGGGTCGGGGGCTGCGTCGCCTTGTTTTGTTTTGTTTTCTGCATCAGCCTCCCCTCCTGGCGACGCAGCTTTTCCCGCCGTGCTTGCAAAAGCTGTATGCAGTTATGAGTTGCAATTATAAAAACGTGTAGACTCAAGCTGCTGCTGCTGCTGCTGCTTCTGTTTGCTGTTGTTGGCCCTCAAGGCCCTCTTCAATAAAGAAATGCCCTCTTGCCGTCCCCTACGTCCACCTACCCCGTCGTGAACCCTCCTGCCCCATCCCTGCTGCTGCTGCTGCCCAGCTGGTGGTGCTCAATGCGGGCATCGGGGAGCGGGGGACCTTCTTCGACCCCAACAACACCCGCTGGCAGACCACACTGGATGTGAATCTGACTGCCGTACTGCACGGAATCAAGTACGTGCATGCCGTACTTGAGGTTGCTGTACCATCCCGCAGTTGGGGGGTTGCTGCAGGTATAGCGGTTTGCTAGCACCATTCAAGGTGGATCCATGTCAGGGTTTTGGCTGCCGTACGGAGAAACGATAATCTCGGTGAAATGTTGCCGTACACGTATCCAACTGTGGCGGGCCCCGTATTCACCATTGGTTCCATCGGGACACGGAAACACTTACTTGTGCTGCGGTCTGCCAGCCATACTGGCATCGCTGCTGTCCATATCCTCCCCTCCCTTCAATCTCTGGTTTCCGGTGCCGTACAGAATCGCCTCCGAGCTTATGATGTCGTACGGGGGTGGCGCCATCCTGGCGGTGGCTTCTGCAGGAGGTGGGTTTGAGTGGGAGATGACGTGGCAGCGTCTGGTTCGTGATTGCGTTGATGGCACGCGGGCTGGACCAGGAATGTTTGTACCTATGTATGTGCGTCTGCATGACCTGACGGGTAATGCCGTACCTTAATACCGCGTTTTACGCCTTCCGCCGCCTCTCACATCCTCCTTTTTCTACACAACTACACACATCCATTCTTGTTACCCACTCTCCCCCCTCTTTTCCCCCGGAAAAACACAAACATACGTAAACATTCTGATACACACACGCACAGCGGTATTCCCCATGCCGGTCGCGCCCGTGTACGCGGCCGCCAAGGCGGGTGTGGCGCACTTCGTCCGCTCGGCCGCCCGCGGGTTGGTTTCGGGGGCTGCTCGGCGGCCCTCCTCCCCCTCCCCTGCCGCCGTACGGCTGATGGCTCTGTGTCCCGAGTTCGTGGAGACCCCTCTGGTGACCCGGCTCATGAAGGAGGTCCGGATTGGGGGGGGGGGAAGGGAAGAAAATCTTCTGGATTTTGTCGGATTTAGGATCCAGGTTTTGGGATCTGGGTTCCGGAGTTTCTTCGGTTTCCTGGATCCAGATCAATTTTCTGAAGATGTATCTGCATCGCAACCACCGTAAACACACACATAACAAACCCGGCAGCAGCAGCTTCACTCGTTCGTGGTTCGTCGTTTCCCCCCTCCTGCCCTGCCCTGCAGGATCCCGCACTGGCCCGGCGGCTGCTCGGCAGCTTGGACATCAAACTTCTGCCCCCCGCCTTCGTCGCCTCTGTGGCGGTGGATATGCTCATGGACGAGAATGGCGCCAAATACAAGGCAAGGGTTTCGGAGCGCATTTCCGACTCCTGAGTCCTTTGGGGAGACGCGTCCATCACCGCAATATCTTTCAAGTCGTACTGTCGTGCTCTGTCGTAAATGTGTCCCGTGGGCCTTTGGAACGGTGAACAAGAGTTTTAACTGACTTGTTCAACCCCGTACCGGGTGATGTACGTGATGTACTGCAGGCCGGTGCCGTGGTACTTGTACGGCAGGACGGTGAGCTTGTCCAGCCGTACGCGCACCAGGGGGGCAAGGCCATTGGCGGGGGGCCCCCCAAAGGCGGTCCCAGCCGGCGAGAGGGCTCAGAGGCTGCTGCTGCTGCTGCTGCTACTGCTCAGCGACGTGCTGAATGGGCGGTGTGGGCCACCATGGCATTACCCCGTGAATATAAGAAGGTGCGTGTGTGTACGTATACATGTATGTATGTATGTATGTGTGTAGGGGGGAAAGAAAGGGGATGTGTTTTATTGAAGAGCTTCAAAAGCTTTCTTCGTTTTCTTCACGAGGATCTGCCGTACGGCAACCTTATTGCCGGGGGGGGGTGAGTAAGGGGGCTGCGTGGTGGAGAAAGGGGGGGAAGGGGTTGTAGGTGGTGAGATGTCCCCCACGGCGGCAGGCCGGACATTAGCAACCCTAAAACCCGATACCCCCCCTTTCGCCCCTTGCACAACCCCCCCTATACACACACACCGGGAAGATCGTCATCACCAGTCTGAGTTCCAATTTCCGCGGGGCTGCTCGCCTGGTGGCGGTCCCCCTTGGGCCCCTGCTGGCGCCCCCCCCGGGGCAGCTGCTGGTGCGGCGAGTGACTGCCGGGGTGAACGCCTCCGACATCAACTACAGCTCGGGACGGTGTGCAGGGTTGGGGGCGTGTGTGTGTGGGGGGGGGGGAGGGAGAGAGGTCGGGGAGTGGGGCGGATTTGCGTGCGTGCGAGTGAGTGTGTGTGTGTGTGTTTCTGTATGTATGTGTGTGTGTGTTTTGGGGGAGGGGTATGGGGGCGGGAAAATAAAAACACGACACGCATGGGGGGTTACAAGGTGAGTTCCGAGACAGGGGAACGTGTCGTTCGGGAATCCCGGCTCGGAGACAGAACTTAGGAGCAGATGGTACGTGGCGTCAATGCACGCAAAATGATGCTGCTTCGTCGTACAGAAAGTCTTCCCTAAAAGCGGAACCCCTTCACAGCAGGATTGTCGGTGCATGGACCTCACAGCCCAACAATAATTACCCAATAATAGTTCCTATTGCATGGACCTCATAGCCCAACAATAGTTACTATTGCATGTACGTAATTATGTATGTAAGTAGATAATTCCTTACGTTTATATGTATGTATGTAAGTACGTACGTAAATGTTGACGTTTAAGGAATCATGGCGGGTCCTGTGTTTTTAGGTTTGGCGGTGCGGGGGCGGAGCGGTTGGATCCCGCATCCCTGCCTTCTTCCCTAAACCCCAAACATACCACAACCCTTCCCCTCCCCCTTTCCCTTCCCCCTCCCCCTCCCCCTCACTTCACGTCAGCAGTTTTTTACTACTTTTCCGCCCCCTCTACACCTACCTTTACTTATGTACGGCTTGGCATTACTGCTTTTCTTCCGCGCTTATTTTAGTCTTGGCGGCTAGGTAGGTAGGTAGTTTTCCACATCTTCTTCACTACGTCATCCCGAGGTCGCCGCACTTCAAGAACGCCGTTTGGTCAGTTCTACGTCTGGTGTACACTCTTGCCCTGGCAGCAGCTTCACTCGTTTGTGGTTCGTCTTTCCTCCCCCCCCCTTCCCCCTCCCCCTCCGCTCCCCCCGTCTGCAGGTACCACACCAGCTCAAGGGAGGCGGAGTCCAAGTTGCCCTTCGATGCGGGGTTCGAGTCCGTCAATGTGGTGGTGGCGGTGGGGGAGGGTGAGCCGGTCCGCTGGCGTGTCCGTGTCGTCTTGGGAGCTGAGCCGCTCCGTGTATGTGTGTGTGTGTGTGCACGTTATCACCCTGTATCTGTATCTGTATCTATGTGTGTGTGTATGATACATATCTGCCCGGCCGACACTGGCCGGGGCACAGAACCGTGTGTGTGTTTGTGTGTTTGTGTCTCATGTTAAGCTCCATCTTAAGGTCCAGCTCTCTCCCAGCTCCTTCACGGGGGTGTTCTGATTGCATTGTTGATGGTGATGACGCTGATGCTGATGGTCGAATGGCGGTTGCGGCCTTTAGGTGACGTAATCACGTAATCACGTGATCACGTATCGGTTTCCTCAACGGCCCGGACCTAGGACACAACGGTCTCGCGGGCTCTGCGTGATGTGACAGGGGTCACGGGATTCGCGCCAGGAGACTGTGTGGCGGCGCTATCGTACGGCAGCTTTTCAGAGTACGGCATCGAATCTGCCCGTACAGCCCTGCCAGTACCTAGTGTCGCTCCGGAGGTGGTGGCGCTGCTGACCAGGTTGGTTGGTTGGGGGGCCATGGTGGTGCTGCTTCAGTGACTGCGCGGGAGAGAAAACTCGCCTCCCTCCCCTCCCCCAGCTCCCGTCCGCCTCCCCCCCTTGTGTATCTCACCACCACGTTGCAGCAAACTGGCACGTCCCCCTTCAGCTGCAGCTCAGTGGGCCGCCGGTACACCACCCGGTAGCGCTCGGGGGCTACACCAGACCCTGCCAGCACCTCACCCGCAGCGGAGGCCAGGTAAAGCCACC